ACCCACGCCAAGAAAGTCCGCAAAGGTGGACAGAACAGCCGAGTCGTGGGCGCCGGCGTACTCGGCCGTAACCGACGGGGGGAGCATCCGGAGAAGGTAGTTGCAGCGAGAAAAGCAGCAAAAGAGTAGCAACAACCAAGAGGCTTGCAAGTCATCAAGCTCGGGCAAACGCTGCAGGAGCTGGTCATGGCCGGCTCGCGACACCTGAGGCTGAGTCCGGAAAAGTAGCAGAGCCCCAAGAACAGTAAGCCCTTGCTCTGCATCCGGCAAGGGACCAGCGCCAACCCAACAGGACAAGTCCGGCATCCCAGGCTGGCCAAGATCCCGGGGCACTTGGCCCGCCGCGTTCCACACTCGCGGCGTAGACATCGTCCAACCAAGGTTTGGTTTCCTCACGCAAATGGTTGTGCGCTGCCTGCAGTGCTGGGTGCTGGCCAAGCGCGTGCAGAAAGCTGGCATTGAGGCTCCTCGCTCACCCCCCTCTGCTTGCTGGACGATGTGCGGCACTCCTCCCGAATCGTGCCAAACATACTCCGAGGTCTCGGAGTAAAACATCCGGACAAACGGGAGACACTCGTTTGCCTTCGGCACGCCAAGCAGGCCCTGCAACATGGACTGGCGACTCATAGTATCGAACGCACCGATCCCGTCGACCGAGACAATGGTCGCCTCCGGGTTGAGCTCAACAACGCTCTCAGCACCTGCCCGGGTCGAGAAGGCGAACTGGAAAGGGCGGCAAGCCGCACGTTGGCTGGAGCGATCCGCTCTGGCTTCAGGCGGGCGACCCGGTCTTGCTTGGCTAACTTTTTGACCCCGGGGCTCCGGTGCAACAACAGGCGGGGCAACAAGAACCACGATTTCCATGCTCACATTGACGCGAGGATAGCGGAGAGCGCAAAGGTCAGGGCCTGCCGCACGGGACCGCGAGCAAAGGAAGGCACAAACTGGAAGGTAAAGGGGCCTTCCTGCAGCACCTGGAGAAGGTCGACGGAATCAAGGCTGGAAAGGGATCGCCGCAAGGCCGGTCTTGCCCGCGCTCCGGCCTTGCCCGCGCTCCGGCCTGTTGGCACGACGCGCTCGGGTGGCGGAACAAGCTTGGCGCGTGGCACGGGAAGCGGTGGGGCCCGAAGGTTGGGTAGTTCAGGCGGAGGATCGACGACGCCTGGATCTGGTCGTGTATGGGGTTGTGTCGCGATGCCACGCTGGGCAGCCCGTTGGATACGCAGGCTTGTCAGGCGGAACAGGGCCCGTTATTCGGAACTCGCCGGTCCCGGGCCAGAGTGCCCCCTCGTGTTGGCAGTCGAAGTCGGCGGTGGCACGGTGATGCGGTCGCCCTGCTCCGGCGTCTCGCTCGCCTGCGTGCGCGGCGGGCGCCGCGCGAGCTGGCCCCGCCGCTGGTGGAGCCAGCTCGGCAGCGGGCGGTGTGCAGCACCGTTTTGGGGCGGTGGCTGCCGCCGCCCCTGCCCACGGGGAGGGGCCGCCTTGCCGCTTGCCGATGCCGGCGCTCCGAGCTGTCTCCCCCTTCGAGGCTGAGGCCCTGGATGCGCCGCTTGTTCCTCTTGTCTCGGGGCGCGAGTGCCGCTGGGGCTCTGTGCTTCGGCTGTTTCACCTCTGCGGTCTCACTTCGCGCGCGGTGTTTCACCCCTGGCATCCCGGCGGCGGACGAACCGCGTCCCAACTCGCGCGGACACGCTTCGGCGAACAACGACAGCCAGCGCCGCGCGGAACGAGCCGCAGCGCTCGCCCAGCTGGGCGAGTTCTCGGCAGCTAGCAGCTAGCGCTCCGCTCACCGCGTCGTCCATGGCGCCCGCGACGCGAGACACACTTCGAGCTTTGCGTGACCCCGACCGTCGCCCTCCGCAGCGGCAGGTCCCGCTGCCGGAAGGCCTGCGCGACAACTTGCCCGCCCCACTGGCCTTGTGCCGGAAGCGCTTTTTGCAGAACGTGCGTGGCAGTCGCCGGGGCGCGGCGGCCGGGCCTTCCGGGTGCACCGCCGAGGCGCTCCGTGTCCTCGTCGACGACGAGGCCAGCGCCGAGCTCTTGTCCGGCGCGTCGTGGCGCGGACGCTCGCGCAACAGCACGCAGGTGCCTTCCAAGCGGCTTGCGCGCCTTTCCAATACGCGCTTCGGACTCGGGCCGGCGCCGATCCCTTGCCCGGGCTGTGCGGGCGGCCTGTGAAGTCGATGGGCGCACCACCGTGCTCAGTGTGGATGGGTCGGGGCGTTTGACCACATCTCACGGGCCATCATGTTGTGCGGCCTGCGGTGCGATCCTCGCCTGGCAGCCCTCCTGCCGTTCGTAGCCCAGTTCTACGCTGAGCCGAGCACGTACCTCTTCTATGATGAGGACGGGGTCGCGCACGACATAACGCAGGCTGAAGGGGCCCTCGGGCAGCACCCGGCGCTTCTCCAGGCGCACAGGGAGTTGCGCCCCGGCGAGGATCTCTATGCGTTCCTTGACGATGTCTACGTGACGTGCACGCCCGACCGCACCGGGCCGCTCTCCGATGCTTTGGGCATCGCCTTGTGGGAGCGCGCCAACGTTCGCCTCCACTTAGGCAAGACACGGGCATGGAACGCAGCGGGCGAGGAACCCAGCTCGCTGCTGCTCACGCTTCCCCCCGAAGCCCGCGCCGCCGCTTGGACAGGCAATTGGGCGCGCGCTCCAAACCAACAAGGGCTTGCCGTGCTGGGCACGCCGGTGGGGCATCTGGAGTTTGTAGCCCGCAGCCTCCAGGACATGCGTGTCAAGCACGATGAGCTGCTGCGGCGCATCCCGTCTGTGCCCCACCTGCAAAGCGCATGGCTCCTCCTCCTCTTGTGCGCGCATATCCGCGCAGCAACTACTTGCTGCGAGTGCTCCCGCCCGCCGAGACGGAGGCGTACGCGGAGTCGCACGACAGCGCCATCATGCAGTGCTTCCAGCACCTGCTTGGTGACCCGGACTTCGCCCGTGACCCGCGCCAGCTCGCAGCCAAGCGTGCGCAGCTCCCCCTGCGGTTCGGAGGGCTCGGGCTCAGATCGGCAGCCGCGTCTCGCTTCGCGGCGTACTGGGCGTCCTGGGCCGACTCCATGCCGGTTATCGGCGCGCGGCACCCGGGCACCCTGGCGCGGATGCTCGCAGGGCTGGCCAACCCAGCAGGCTTTCTCGCCACGCCATCGATGCGCGCGGCCGCGCACGCGGAGGAGGTGCGTTGAGGCAGCATCCCGCGTTGCAAGCAGCCAATTGCTGGCTCGCCACTTGGCAGAGCACTGCCACATCCAGCTCAACTAAGGAAAGACACGTGTGTGGAACGCAGCAAGGCCGTGTCCGCCCGACCTTGGCCAATGAATGCCAGCAACAACGCCGACCTTCTATGCTTTCTTTTGTGGCACCAGAACAGCAACTGCTGTGCTTTGCGTCTTCTGAGCGGTTAGTGGATTCGTGTACTATAGGTTGATCATGTCCATTGTGTTTGATTTATATTTTGCTCGCTGAGTGGATCCCACCTTTGGGGGGTCTACTGCCGGGGCAGCGTGGAAAGTCAGTGCGCAGCCATCAAGGCGGCTTCGCAATATGGAGGGATCCGTGCCAGCCGGCCTTTCTGCGTAGGCGGGGTTGTCCGCATACGCCAGGATCATTGCATGGTCCTGAAAGGCGGCACATATGCAGACATTGCAGCATCCCATGTCTACGAGTGTGTGTGCAGCAAGGACTGCGGATGGAAACGTAGATCGTGTTTGGCGGTCCCGTCCTATGTGGCCATGTTTTGGTGACGTGACCAATGTCAGCAACAACGCCGACCTTCTATGCAACTGTGCTCTGCGTGTTCTGAGAAGTTAGTGGATTCGTGTACTATAGGTTGTGCGTCCTGTCCATTGTGTTTGATTTGTATTTTGCTCTCTGAGTGGTTCAGATTCAACTTTGAAGTTGGGAGTTGTTCACGCCCCATACCTTTTGTACTTATGGCTGTCGAACATCAAGCGCTCGATCTCGGAGGTAACCAGGCACCTGCGACGTGGTTAGAGTAGCCGTTGGTGTGAGTGGGTCAAGGTGACCTACCTTTGTGATGCAGGCCTACCCAAGGCGACGACATCCCAATGCCACCTCACCACACGCACGGACGACAGCCCCATGGGCACGATTGGCGCCATCGACATGACCAGTGGCACCAATGGGACAACCATGGCACATGGACAATCCAGGACTGGCAAAGTCAAGGCTATCAGCGAATGCTTTCTCGGCGGGCTGCTGCCAGGGACGGCGTTGCCCTGCAACACGCTCGCCGCAGAAAAGAGCGGCGTTACCCCGAGCTGCAGGCGGCGGGGCCGCACCGCCTCGTCGTGTTGCCATGCGAGGTTGGTGGCCGATGGGGCTGCGAGGCGGCCGAGCTCGTGAGGCGGTTCGCCCGGCTCTGCGCCCAGCGCGCGCCGCCTGCGCTGCGCGCCTCAGCGCTGGCCGGATGGAGGCGCCGCTGGTGGGGCATTCTAGCAGAAAGCGCTGACCTCCGGCCTGCTTGGCGCGTGGGCCACGCCTGCCATGCCGGCTGCTGAGACCGGGCCGCCGCTAGCGCTGGGCCCGAGTGGTGTCGCGTTACGTGGCTAGGCGCCCGCAACCGCCCAGCGGGGACAAAAAAATACACAAACAAAAACCCACCACTCGAGACTCATCAGTTGTACTCGAAGGATTAGCTTCTCCCTTGGGAGTTTAAGAGTGTGTGTGTGTGTGTGTGTGTGGGTGCGTGCGTGCGTGCGTGCGTGCGTGCGTGCGTGCGTGCGTGCGTGCGTGCGTGGATGTGTGTGTGTGTGTGCATCATGGAATCATGTATATATATATATAGATATATACATATATTTATGTAGATATTGCATGTCCGTTGCGCAGCTGTTTCACATTCCAGGTGACGTTTTGAAACCGGCGCAAGTCACGTGTTGGAATTGCTTCTGTATTCCGCAGTGACGATTTGTTTTACGACTCGCAAAACATCAGGCCACCCAACAAGGTTGACATGTCGATACCAGGTATGAGATCGTAGCTGCGCATGGCCTCGCCTTTTGATGGATGGGACTTCATGGCGTGAACAATTTGCAGGCGCAGTACTCATGTTGTTCAACAGCGATGGAATGTTAGCGGAAAACTTGCGGGCGGGCTGCAAGGTCAGGCTGCGGCGCAGTCACCCGCGTCTTCAGCAAGGCGTGTTTCCCTTTTTCAACCTTCCCAATTTTTCAAGTTTGATGTCACAAGCGGCTGCTGCAGTTCTCCCCCTCTTTTTCAATTCTACTCTCCTTTTTCCGCGCTGTTGTTTCAGCTCTTTCTCTGTCTGACCTCGCTCCGTCTGTTGTGCGCCTTCGTTCCCTTTTGTATTTTGCTGCTTTTCTCCCCCACAGTCCTCTTTCTTGCGATCCTTTTGAGCATTTCTTCCCTTGCTTTTCATTCGCTCTTCGGTCTTGCTTTGCGTTGCTTTGCTCTTCACATTTCCCAGTCCTTTTCTTAGCTTGTTTCTTCGCCCTCGCTTCTCCCCATTTTGCTTTCTGCTCCTCTCCGATTCCATGCCACTCTTCTCACAGCCTTTCATTCGCCTTCCCCTTTTTCAAGTTTTTGTCCCAGCATTGCCCGTTTCCTCACAGAAGCCTCTTACTCCCTCCCCGCCCTTTCTCTGCAGCCGCTGTTTGTAGTTTTATTGTCTCCAAGTCTTCTCACCGTTTTCCTCCCCATTTTCCATGTGGCAAGTCTCGTTCCTCTGAAATTGCTTCTGCTACTCGATGCTTCGGCTTGGGTCCCAGACCCGGTGCAGCCGTTGGAATTGTTTTCAGATGCAGCGGGTGGCAGGTTGGGAGCAGCACCAGATGAGCAGGGAATTCGTGCCCAAAATGCGTGGCGCTTACGCTTGGCATTGCTATGGTTCTCAATTGCTCTTCTTGCTACTGTTCTTGTTGATGCCCCTTGGCAGTGAATCATTTTCTTGCATCTTCTTGTCAAGTTGATTCCGTATGTGATTTGCGCGTCATTCGATCAACGTGAGACGCAACGCCACAGGCGTCAACGCCGACATCAGCCTTGCGAGCCAAAGCGGGCAATGGCCCCAGACTTGGAACTGCTTGGGAAATTTCAGCTGCCACCGCAGGCGTCCTCTCGGCATTCAGGAAGCCTTTGTTCTACGCTTGGCTCACTTTGAATTAAGCAATGTAGAGATTGAATTCCAAGGAAGCCGTCACCAAGGCAAGGGCTTCGTTGGGATTTGTGAGCCCTGTGCCAGCAATTCCTGACTGTACCAGGACTGCAGGCAACGTGGATGGTGCAGGTGATGGCACTGCCAGTGAGGACAAGGTGAGCATAGCAAATATCGCCTGTGGGCCTTGGAGTCTCATGGGACAAAGACAGTTCGCACGTGCAGACGTGTGACGTTTGTTGCTTGCTGTCAGTATGTACGATGCATTTGAAACGCAGAGTTGGCATTCAAGCTGGCATTGTCATGAAGCACCAGGTCAAAAAACCCGCTCAGCGTCCATCAAGTCTGAAGCCCAAGTTTCCATGGTCCATGGAATGTAACAAGGGTTTGGATCAAGCGACGGAAAGAGCGGATGACCGGTGTCTAAAGGTATGGCAGCAGGTTCTATTTTCACGGGCGATGTGCCTTGATAAGCTTGAGCACTTGCCCTGATGAAAGTGGCGTGGCTTGCTGGATGGGCTGAGGTTACGGTTTGCGAACACTTCGAAAGTGCTCCTGGCCGTACTTGAGTTTTTGCCTGTGAGCAAGTTGTTTTATGGAGGCTTGAGAGGAAGGCAAGCGCCGTGAAACAGGAAAGGAGTATTTATGGATGCGCGCAACGTTTTTGTGAATATTGCAGTAGTGGAAGAAAGCAATCCCTTCCCCCTGCTAAACGGGCCCCCCTCCCCCCCTCCCGCTCCCTAATACTAAGTGAGTCCCCAAAAACGGTTTTAGCATTAGGGGGCCCCCTCGTTTTCGGAGAATCGTACTCCCGGAGCTCCGGCTCGAAAGTGGCAACCGTAGTAAGGAAACGTACTCCCGGGTCCCCCTGATAGGGGATTTGGGCACGGGCCAGAAAATACGTACTTTAGAATTGGTTTAGCGTCGGCTATTCGAAAAGTAGTATTCCCGGATTTGGGATTTTCAAGTCTCGGTTTTAGCATTAGGGGTAGGTTTAGAAAGAAGGAATTAAGCGACTGGGCCGTCCCTGCACCACTGCCTGTCTTGTGGTATGGCTGTGTTTGCAACGGCTTCAGACGGAGTGGAAAGGGTACCAGAAAACCTGCTACAGTCTGGAATGAAACAAGACCAGCTTTGTTGTGCGACAAGAAGCGTGTAATCACGCAGAGCCCAAACCACCCTAAACCCACTCGTGAACTGATCCAACACCCGGCTTAAGCCAACCTCACAGCTAAACTTTAGACCCTGCTCGAAACCACATAGGCTGGCCTGCAGAAACCAACACTTATCCTCAGGCAAACCCTCAACCAGCCTGAAACCAACACACGCACACACAACTACACACATTACACACGTATCACACACACAAACATACCCAGCAGACACTGCCGCATACCCATTCCCACAACAGACACACAGCACACACGCACACAAGACACACACGCAACACGCACACACACACACATACACAAGACACACACACACACATTGCACACTCACACACAACACACCCCACACACACATTCACACACACACAAGCACAACCTCATGCACACACAATCACACACACACACACATACGCACACGCACGCACACACACACACACATACACACATCCCCACACACACACACCCATGCGACGCGTGCACGCACGAACCGCGTAGTGCTTGCGCTTGCGCGCACGCTTGCGCTTGCGCTTGCGCACGCGCACGCGCACGCGTACGCGCACGAACACGCGCACACACACGCACACGCACATGCACACGCCTGCGCGCACACCCGCCCACCCGCTCGCTCGCCCGCGCACGCACGGAAGCGCACTGACGCAAGCGCATGTGTACACGCACGCAAGCGCACGCGCACGTGCACGCAAGCGCACGCTTGCAACCGCACACTTGCAAGCCTATGCACGCAAGCGCACGCACGCAAGCTGCACACACGCAAGCGCGCGAACGCACGCAAGCGCACGCACGCAGGCACGCAAGCGCACGCAACCGCGCGCAAGCACGCGCACGCAAGCACATGCGCACGCAAGAGCACGCACTTAGCGCACGCACGCAAGCATATGCACGCAAGCGCACGCATGCTTGCAAGCGCGCGCAAGCGCACGCAAGGGCACGCAAGCGCACGCACAAGTGCGGGCAAGTGCACGCAAGCGCACGCACGCAGGCACACACGCAGGCACGAACGCACCGGCACACGTAGGCACACACACACACATGCGCACGACACACACACACACACACACACACACACACACACACACACACACACACACACACACACACACACACACACACACACACACACACACACACACACACACACACACACACACACACACACACACACGCACACACAACAGACACACACACACATACCTGCCCAAAGGTTTGCTCGAATTTGGTCCAAACCTGATTCCAACCCAAAATTCGAAACTCGACCCACCCTGTGACAGCCCCAAACTCACCGTAAACCAACTCAACACTAAACATCACTAATCCCCCAGAAACCAAGCCGCTAAACCAGCCCAAGCCCGATCCAAACCAACCTTTCACCGACCCTTAGCAGCCTTGAGTTTCGCACAAAAACCTCTGTCCCAAAACAATTCTGCACCACCAGCATAGGAGAGCACGAGGAAAACAGCTGAACACCAACGCAGAACACAGCCCAACTTAGTGCCGACCCAGCTGGAAGGCTGACAACTTTGCTTGAGGGCCATTGAAGCTGCGCCTAAAACCTGAAAAAGAGACATTATCCGGAACGACACTCAGACATCTCGCACCCTACCCACACACGGGCAAGCAGAGTAAGGGGCGTAAGGATGTCTGGATGCATGCGTTGCTGAACTTCATGGTGCTTCGCCCGTGCCAGAGCTTCCACCACTCGCTTGATAACTGACGATGACTGCTCCTCAGCCTGTGGCATTCACACCACGGCTTGATCGTCGCAGCTTAAGGTAGATGTGGCCACATCAAGCTCAGGCAGAAAACTGCCATCGCTGCGCTGCGGCCTTTGTAATTGCACTTCCCGAGCCCGCGAAGCCGGTTGCAAATTCTCAGGACATTTTGCGCACATTGTCGCGAAGTCGGTTGCTTAGACATTGACCGTGCTTCTCTCCTTCGTAGCATTGGCAAGGTCGGAGGCGGAAAAGGAGGAGGTTGGCCAGGCACGTGAGTTTGAGCCTGGACTCTTGAACCAACTTGAACCTTGAATGTAGCACAGGCCTCATGGACATGTTATCCCTTGTTCCAGAGGCACTCACGCCCAGACGCTCTAGTTCACAGCGGCGGCGAAGTAGCAGACGTGCTGGCAAGTTTGAATTGGCCAGCGTCGAGGTGTAGGCAAAATGGTTTGGATGGGTTTTCATTGGCTGGATGGACTGAGCTTTCCATGCACGCATGTAATTCTCGGGAGTGCTCATGTCAGGTCGAATGCAGACCTTTGTGGCTGCGGCATCTGCATTTTCAGCTTTGAGGCAGGGCGGGCCCAGCACAGAATGTGACTTCAAGTACCTTCCGGCCGCTTTACCTGAAGAAATTGTGCTTTTGTGCTTGCTTATCAGGCCAAAACACTTTGCTCCATCAAAATGTTTTTTCTTCGTCATGCCCACCGCCTTTGAATCTACGCCCCGGCACGTACCAAAGAGCTGTTTGTGGAGAGACATTGCCAGGGATACCTGTCCAATTGAAAACAATTCAGAAGAAGAAGGCAGGTTTCGGAAGCTGATGTTTGCTTGTGCGCAAATGCTGCGTGAATTGCCAGTAGTTGGCCCAGATCCGAACGAGGCAAGGTCGCTGCATAGTCTTTTTCTTGCGGCCAATAAATTGACGTTTGGTGACAACTGCTTGCTTCTTGGCATTAAAAATCGGTGCAGTTTGCTCGATCCGTGAGGTAATTTTGCCACCAGATGGTGACAGCGATAGTGATGATGAAGAGGAAGAAGAGGCTTCAATTCTGAAGATGGGAGAAAGAAGTCAACATCATCATGTCATGTTGGTGTTTGCGTTTCACGAAGCACTTATTTGAAGCGAGCGTTTGCAGGCCGAACGTGACTTCCTGTCTGCTCTTCAAAGAGTGCCAAGTTGAGCATCCTGGGGTCGAGCACGGGCAGTTGCATTTTGTATTTGGATAGTATTTGTTGGCTTGCACGTTGTGAGCCTCAGCCACACCCAGATTCGTGATAGTGGACGACTTTCCATGCGTGAGCTGCCGGGCACTTATGCGTTTGCTATGTGGTTGCTGCATGTTTCGAGGATGAAACAACTGAGTCTGCCGTGTTGTTCAGTTTTTTGCCCTTGAGCAGCCGGTGCGAGTTTGGTGGGCGCTACCATGCCAACACGGAAGCAAGCTGCCCTGCACCAAAGTGCCGCAGGCGAGCTGTTGAGAAGGAGCTCAGGCCGGGATCGTGAGATGGGCTAGGGTAGGACCTGCAGGATGGATTTGCAAGGGCTTCCTTTTTTGGTGCATAGATTGTGAAGCTAGGATTGGCTAGAGGGAGAGGGTGTAGACAGAGAGAGCGAGAGAGATGGATAGAGAGAGAGAGAGAGAGAGAGAGATAGAGCGCGAGAGCGCGAGAGAGAGAGAGAGAGAGAAAGGCAGCGGGAGAGTGTAATCAGCCACAAACACACCATGCAGGCTCATACATGCACACTGGCACGCTTTTGCCTGTCATCCTATATTTGATAGGGTCAGTTAACAGTTGAACCCTTCTGCCACATGCCTTGTAAGAAAGTTCTGAAGGAGGAGCATGCCAAAAAATCAACTGTAGAATACTTGCAGTGCAGCAAAAAATGAATCACCCTTGTGCAGATACTTTGCACATGGCAGAATTTCCCTTGTCCCTTCAAACAGAGCTGGGCTTCGGAGAAGTCTCATGCAATGCAGCTCAGCTAAAAAGTCAAAAGGGTTAGTCTGAAAGGAGTACCCTTAGAATACTATGATCCGCTGATTTCGCCATGAAGATGTACATTCTTACATCCAGATCTACACATATTTGTACATATATAGATAGGTAGATGGATAGATAGACATGTACTATATATAAAGTAACTAATAAATCAATACATGAATCCACATATATATATATATATATGTTAATTTGCATCCAAAGCTGCAAGAGTTGCCAGGCAATACAATCTCTTCAAAGGCCTTGGCCCCAGCGTCCAGCCTCCGCCAATTTCCTGAATATGTGGAAGGACGCGTGGGACAGAGGTGTGAAAGCAGTGCTTTGCGCAACTATTTGGACATGTACATGCTGCGGGGGCTTTTGACATAGTGCTCGGAAGGCAGCCAGCAGCAGCACTAACGCGAGAAAAGTTTGACTTGACAGAATGGAACCTGTTTGCTATGGTAGGCGGGCACATGTTGCGGCTTATGTAACCAGCATAATTCTGTGAACATCGAGCGATTCCGAACTCAAGCCTTCGGAGCACAATGGGTCAAGCAAGCTGCAGCGACGTATTCAAGGCCGGGAGCGGGGAAATTTGCGGATTTGGTATGATGTGATTTGTAGGTTGTCAAGAACGCAGGCCTTTGGGTTTTGGGCGCAGGTGCATGGAGTTGCAGTGCTGCAGAACGAAAGGTCTTGACCAACAATTGCGTTTCAATCGCAGAGTGCCGCTCGGCAAGGCAGAAGAGCCGCCCAAGCAGCTGCAACGTGCCGCGCCAGAGGTGCACGAAATGTTGTAGGCGATTGACGCTGCCGAGCTCATTGATGACTCTGATTGACGGGGCGTTTGCGGGGATGTGGCAAGATGCGATGGTCGTCTTTTCCCGCAGGCGCGTCAGGAGGCCGAGAGTGCGGACCTTTCCTGGCCGATTGTGCGGACTGCGCCGCCGGAGCCTGCCGATATTGGAAGGCCGGCGAGGAACGGGAGAAGTGGAAATAGCAATGGGTTGGAAAGGTGCCCCATGAGACATGATTTTGGAGCGCCAACAACATGCCACAAGCACAGGCTACGAGCGGAGCTTCAAGCCAAGGAGAGTCTTGGTGCAAAGAAGCAGCGGACGCGGGCCGATTAAACTTGTCGCGGGCCTGTCAAAGGAAAGCCAGAGTTTTGGGGCCAAGTGGAACTCAAGGATGGTGGGAGTAGAGAGGCAACCGCTCTTGCTGCTAAGGCAGATCTTGCAACTCCTGCGCAAAGAGGCCATCGATCACCGCTTCCTCATAGAGGAGTGGGATGTGTTTTGAACTTGGCATAGGGTGGTGATCCCAGGTTTCGGAATCAGCTCAAGCAGCATGCTCCCTTTCCCTAGTGCCACGCTTCCCAAAAAAGGAGAACTTTCGGATGCCCGAATTGAACAACAATGCTGCCAGGGCAGCAATCGCTAATTACCGAGCCGGAGGCTCAACTGCTATTCCAGAAGGGTAATAAGGGAAGGCGGGCATCTTTTTCGGGGTATTTTGGAAGAGGCGCCCTGCAAAACAAGCGTTCGTGCGGTCGATTCGCTCCGCTCGGCGAGGTCCTCGAGCGGGAGACTTTCGCCAAGGAAGAGGCTTTGGTGCAGCTGCGAGCGGCGGAGGCGCATCAGAAGGAGAGGGGCGCCCAAGCAGGAGAAAAAGCAATTCGTACGCGGCATGCTGCTTGAAGCTCGTTCACTAGAATCAAGATTAAACATGTGTTGGTGGACCTGAAGATCTTAACCAAGCAGAGTCTCAGGGTTTTGGGTTTTGGGAGGGGATTGCACGCAATATGAATATATATATATATATATATGTATATATATATAGATAGAGATTTTCGTACATATTCATATTCATCTACACCTACACACATAAATGCATATTGGCATGTACATGTATGAATGTACGCGTGTATATGTATATATATATATATATATATATATATCGGTGTACTATGTTCAAGAGTTGAACGCAGGTAAAACGCCACTTCGATCCCTGCCGGCGCTCCTCTTTCTGCGGTTTCAGAGCTTCACAGGCAAGAAAAAGCATCCAGCGCCCTTGACATGGGAGCACTCGGGTGGACATTGCTGGTGGCCAACATGCAGTACTATGATGTAGGTGAGACAATAACACACGTGTGGCAAGTTTCATGTCATTCGGGCCCACGCTGCGTGGCATGGATATATATATATATATATGTATATATATATATATATATGCTATTTTTCTTGAAACACTCAGGTTGTTGGACAGAACTGAGGTTTTTCCGGACTGGGGGTAACAAATGCCTTGACTCTGAAATGAACTGGACACTCAACTGCATGCAAATGCTAACCACGCAGAAGTTAATCTCAACGTTGATTAGGAGTTGCGAGTTGTGTGACCGTCGCATTGGCGTGCGCGAAGTGCACTTAAAGTCACATTGGGGTATGCAAAGTGCAATTTGGCAGCTCCAGCTCAAAAAGCACAACTGTTCAGTACAGGAGTAGTGCGCAAAGTATGTTTTGGCAGCTTCAACGCGCCTGTAGCAGCCCTATTATTTGGTGTTTATTATTTCTGTTTGGCAGCGAAATTCAGCAAAACATCAACTCGGGGAAAAGGAACTCATTCCTAGTTCATGTCCTTGCGCAGTTGCATTTACATGTTAGCTGGAGTGTTGTGCATAATTCCTGACATGCTAGTTCAGTCTAATTGAAACATATGTTGCAAAGCAACTATCCCACGTGTGTGTGTGTGTTGCTTGTCTAAGTTGGTTCCATCATCGCCACTAACAACTATTGAAATTCAAGAAATTCAAGCGTACTCGTTTGCAGTTTCTTGTGCATTTCAAGAACCAACTGGAGAAGATAGCTATTGTCATGGCCAAATGAATTTGGAACCAAACTCAATTTTGAAAGGGTTATTGTCCTTCGAACTCCATGTGGTTTGAACCAAGCAAGAACTGAGCCAAGCCAATGACCGTGTTTTCATCATAGATCATATTCTTTGCATAAATGCTGTAAAACGCAGTGTTTTTCAGCATTTGCTCAGATCGTGTTGCCCTGGATCGAACATTGAACATACAAGATTCCACAAACATATGTATAGAATGCAATCCTGGTCCCCCAAAAACTTGACAGTTTGTTCTAGACTCATCAAGGTTATCCTGGCCAGCCCTCAAGTCCACAAAAAAATAAAGGTGTCAGCAACATTTTTCCACCTGGCCAATTGCAGGCAGCGCAAGTGCACATCCACATTTTGATTCTGACAACGTGCACTCGCGGTCTGCCTTTTGGATTCTTCAAATCCGCACTTAAGGCAATCCAGGATCTGGATGGGTGATTCAAGATTCTCTGACAACTCTTTCTGAAATTCTCAAAATATGTACTTAGACCAACCCAGGATGTGCTAGCACGTGCTAGCACATCCTGGATTGAAGATTGAAGATTGAAGATTCTCAGACCACTTGTTCTGGAAATCTTCAATCCATCCTGAGGACAAACTGGTATATGAGAATCTTCAATCTTCAATCTTCAATCCAGGACGTGCTAGCACGCGCTAGCACATCCTGGATTGCACTAAGTACCGATGCTGGAATTTAAGTCTAAAAAGGAGTGCTTTTTTTAGAGCCTGATTTTAGAAGCCGGAACGTGTGTTTTGCATGCATTTTTACAGCCAAAACATGTCAATTTCTGGCAAACAACCTGAGTATTCCAGGGGGGGGGTACCATATATATATATATATGTATATATATATATATATATATATTTAAGGCAACGAACACAGTTGCGCCCCCCCCCGCCCCCACCTCCCCTCCCCCCCCTCGTCTTTGCGTGGCATGGATATATTGGGCAACAAACGCCCCCCTCCCCACCAGCCCCACCTTGCCCCCCCCCGCCACCGCCAGGAAGACGTCTGTGCTGCAGCCCCAAGCAACTCTTAAACAGTGTGTACCCATACATGTATATATATGTGCATATGTTTACATCTATATACATTCAGTATATCTATTTGTACGTACGTGTATCTATATACAAAGTACTGTAACATGCGCATGCGTACGCATATTTCAATAGACAGTTTTTCAGCCCAGGGCTTAACAATGCCTTGTTTTTAGGCCGAAAGTATCATGTGAGCCGCATGGTGCACTACCAGGCAGCCAGTGTGCCGCATCCAGGGTTACAGTCCAGGCTCAGCAAATGCGTTGACTCGCTTTGGCAGAGGAGCTGGTACGGCTAGCTGCAGAAATTCACCAGCGTGACGAGGGACTACGGGGTTGGAGCCCTGGTGCCTTCATTGGTTTGTCACTTCTCCGGAGGCCCTTGCAGCCGCACCCCTCTAAACTCCTGGGCTTCCATCCTTTGTCTTCCGAGGCTTCCGTGCCTTAACTGTTAATTACAAAGATTAGCTTTTACATTGCAACCTTCAGCCCATGTATAATCCAGGCCGTGGACCCCCCTCCAAAAAAGGGTAGCCCCCCACCCCATGTGTTCTGTTTTTTCAGACCATTGATCTCCCGCAACATTTGGCTCAAGGGCCCCTTTTGCATAATCACGACCGTCCGAGCGTGAAGACAAAAGAGCCATTGCAGGCCGCTTACAGGATTATCCACAAGACAATCCACCAGGGACAATCCATCCTCCAATCATCCATTACTGGCATATTGGACTCTCTCCGGAATAGATTCAGGGACCAACAACGACCTCAACTACCAGGGTTCCAGTTCCCTCCGGGGATAGGCACCTGGGGCAGTGGGCCTCAATTCGTGGTAGCGGAGCAGGCTTTCCGCAGAGATCCAAGGGAAGATGTCATCAGATGGAGAAGGCTTCATGGAAGCCTATACAAGTTCGGCAAAGCCGAGCTATACGGAGGAAACACTAAATTTATCGATGACCGCCAAGCAGTCATCGTACGACGGAAAAGTCAGCTGGTTCAGGTATGAAGAACTCGTGGACGACTGGGTGACCATCACAACGGTGGAAGCACCAAAGAGAGGACCTCTCCTGAAGAGTAGACTTACAGGAGATGCATATATGTACAAGGCAGTCCTCCAAAATGACCTTTTGCAAGATCCTGATGAAGGAGTCAACTATTTCAAGAACACGCTGAAGAAGTACTTTTTGAAAGGTGCGACCAACGTGTATCTGTACAGACTCCTCAGTTTCTTCAACCATAGAAGGCAGAACCAAGAGTTCCTCATTTTTACCTCAAAATTCGAAATCCTTCTCATGAGATTGAAGGCAGCATGGATGGACTTGATGCCCGTTTTCACGGCACAGTCCCCATCATTTCGACAGTCCGTACAGGACGCAAATGCAAGAACAATTGCTCGACATCAGCAAGCAGCCGGTGTTCGAGCACCGCCTCCAGCCCTGCTCAATGAGGACGATCCAACAGTTCTCAGACAGTATATCCAAGGAATGCAGGACAGACAGCGGGACGCATTTCCCTTCGGGGATAATCTCATTGCACAGTTTTTCATCATTCAAAGTGAGTTGTCAGATCAACAAAGAGAAAGACTCACAAGTGCAATGTCATTGAGAAACATCTCACTCGAGAATTATTCCTATGAGATGCTGAAGACGCACTACCATGAACTCTTCATCACAACGAGGACATCGATCCAAGATCCATCCATCCGACCTCAAGGAGGCAACCGAAGCAACACATTCTTCATCATCGAACAAGGTGAATACGAAGGAGAAGAAGGCTTCTGGGTTGAGGATGAAGAAGGACTTGAAGGATTCATGTCAAACAACGATGAAGAGACGTTCTGGGTCCTCGAGGAGAACGATGCGTTCATAGCAAGAAAAGTGTCGGGGCGGAACTTCAAGTTCAAGAAGAGAAAAGGGAAAGGAAATCAGGAAACAAGAAGGGCAGTCCCCAACGAGGTGGCTTAAACCCTTCAGAAAAAGCGGTTCTGGCGGAAAGGCCAATATGGCCAACGAAAACTATGATCCCTACGACCAGGCATATTGGGGAAAAGGCAAAGGAAAGAAGGGAAAGAAAGGAAAATCAAAATTCCAATATCCCTATGATGGAAACAAAGGTTATCCATCCTATGAGAGTGGCAAAGGAAAGAGCGGACAGAAAAAGGAAAATCCAAGACGTTCGCAGCCACCGCAGAGAAGACGGAGGAGCAGCCCGCCATCCAGCAGACTGCACCATCCATAGAGCCTACCTATGCCGGTTGGACAGACCAAGATTGGGATCAATCATGGACATGGAACGAACATGGCTGGTACTCATCCCATGAGACATCCAGCACAGGACAAGCGTCAATGGTATTCCATGATGCATATGAGTATCCTGGGAAAAAGGCCATCCACGAGAAGCTGATCCAATCAGATACAGTTTCAGAACACAATCTGTCCGTCACAACAAATCACAGCCTTTTGGCAACAAAGCTGATGGCGCCTGTCATCAACCCTCAGCGCAACCCGACCTATGCGATTCTGGACAATGGATGTGCCAGATCTATGGGCAGCTGGCATGCAATCCAGCGTTTTACCCAGGCAATCGAACCAATGAAGGACATCATCTCCTATCAGTACATCCCGGCCGAGACCAAGTTCACTTTTGCAAACGGAGAGACCGCCAGGGTAAATTGGACCCTGCATCTTCGATATCACACAACTCCTCCGTGCAGTACCAACATCGACGTCCTTGAACAAGGAACTGCACCGATCCTTCTCAGCATCAGCCAGATGCGGAACCTCTACATGACCATCGAGCACACACCTCAATGTGACAAGATCACATGCAAGGCCTTTGGCATGAACCGTCAAGCAGTTCCAGTATCCGGTACAGGACATGCACTCGTCGATCTTGCTGGAGTTGCAAGAGTGAGGGCACATGGAGAAATTGCTCACAAGGGCCTCACCAACTATGTCTATGACGATGATAACAGCATCAAATTTCCCTCCGGGGATCTCACCAGGAGCGAAACTGTTTGTGCAGCAAAATCATCCGAGACAAAGGAGGACCTAGCAACTCCTAAGATCATTGGGTCTCAAAAGCAGGACCATTGGATCCTTGACAAGAAGAACAAGCAGCTCATCCGTGTGCACATCACGCCCGGAAAGGCGCTGTTCACACCAAATGGAGCCAAGGAATGTCCAATCAATCCTGATCACATTAGCCGAGAACGTACCACGGAAATCATTGATGCATCCGCAGGTGGAGATCCAGACATTTTGGAAGACAATTGGAGACTTACATCCCAGGCAAATAAACCAATGATTAACCTGTGGATAGGTAAGACCATATTCACCTTCTCGGACAATTCGCTGAAGGACGAAGAAGCAGGTTCAGGATCGGCAGCAGACAGGATCATCGACAAGAGGGGCCGGTCGACTATTGAGCCAGATCCTTTCGCACCATCCTCAGAAGAATTAACATCGCTTCCGCTTGCCCTAGGCAGAATCCACAAGCGATTGTCAAATCCCGAAGAGTTGAAGAAACTCCACCTGCAGCATCATCACATGACAACAGATCAATTTCGATTTAGAACCCGAGCGCTTCATTTGCCGAAATCAACATTCGATCTATTCGACAAGATCCGAAGTGAGTGTGAAGTTTGCCAAGTGGCAAAACATGCACCATCACGAATCACGAAGCAAGACAAGCGGACTTCGAGCGGACACCTTTGGTGACATGACATTCATTGATCACTGTCAAGTTCCTCTTGGAACTGGAGAACACATCATTGTTTTTGTCATCCTGGATGGAGCAACAACATTGCTCACTGCAGAGGCAGTGACAACTACGCAAGAAGTCGAGAACATCACTGTCCTGAGCCCTCAGGAACTATTTTGACCAGTACCACTTGCACCCCTCTCAGTTGTCGCAGATCAAGCCTTCATGACAGATACATGGGAACATTTCTATCAGTCCCTTGACATCACTCCGATATCCTTGGGACCGAATACACCATGGCCAAATCGAGCTGAAGCAGCAGTTCGACTCCTGAAGGCGCAACTCAAGATGATGCTAAGTTCCATCAAGGCAGGCACTGCACCTGCAACACTGAAGAAAGTGACCTACAGGCAACTAGTGAAGGCCGCTGCAACTGTCAGGAATCAGACCGTCACCTAAGACCATTGGAGCTCGCGTTCGGAAGACGACCAGCAGATCTCATCCAACTCGATGTCGCAACACCAACTCAGTTGACGATTGACAGGAATGAAGAAGAGATGACAGCCATCCAGATCAAGCAGCTGTCAAAGCAAGCTTTCCAAGAAGCATGTCAATCCGAGGACATCCGACGAGACCTTGCTCAAAATCTCCGAATGAGTTCAAAGCCTCTTCAGGTGAAGGACAAGGTATTTTACTGGCAGGAAGACAAATCCAAGATTCGTTCCGATGGAAGCAAGGGAGGACTATGGCTAAAAGGAAAAGTCATTTCCATTGAAGGAGCGATGGTAGGACTTGATCTTGGGACTCGACTCATCAAGGTTAACATGACGAAGCTCAGGAAGGATGAGACCATCCCTCCGGGGAAACCCGGAATTGACCTTCTGTTACCTGAAGAGCGAGAATCCTTGCAGAAGGAGCAACCAGGCTCCTCTGTAGATACCAAGAAAAAGGAAACATCCGCACCAGCTCCTAAGCCAAGATCCTCAGTGCCATTACGTATCGCGGGAAAAACAACTCCAAAACCTGCAGTACCTCATCCAGCAGAGAACATGTTCGTCAAGGACCTCACATCCATTCCTGAACAAGCACATTGGAATTGTGTACGTAAGGGAAAGATCCACGTTCTCAAGATCTTTGCAGGAAGTGCCAGATTCAGTCAATGCTGTGCACTATCAGGTCTTAAGGTTGGGACTCCCGTGGACATCCGCACAGGATTCGATGTAATGACATCCAAGGGACGACACATGGTCTCAACACCAGATCCGCACAAAATGCACTCAGGCCCGATGGCAAGGAATTCTATGTTGATTCACAGATGGAGTTCTATGTGTGATGCAACAGCGGACACACACACGACAAGTCGATACCCTTTGGACGACCCCTGTACTCTGAGCAGAAAGAGCCTCATTACGACGAACCGGACTATGATCTTCCAACGGAATCCATTCCGCCAAGTCCGCATCCGTCAAGATCCGAGGCGCCTCATGGAGATGAAGGCACAGCTCAGCCCAAGTACAGAATGCGAAGGCCGGCACCACCATCCGTTGAAGAAGAGAGAAAGATCAAGCCGTTCTCGAAGAAGCCCATCACATTCATGTTCCATGCAACCTATGGAAGTCAGCTCTACAGCATCATGG